TATATTTAATTATAAGTATTAGAAATAATAGTCTTTATAAAATGGTATTCGCCATATTGGCTTTCTTTGCTATCTTTATCAGTTACTACGATTGAATCAAAATGCTACAGTACCAAGCCCATAATCTTTTTCACCTTGCTGACTTATTTTTAATTCTGGTTTACTTAAACTATCAGTTATCGTTCTTAATAAACTGAAATATTAGTATTATGATGAGATTCATTTTTTTATACAGGATAGTAGAAGATGCAATATCTTTATTTAATATTAAGTCAAACTATACATTTTTTTTAATTAAACCAATTGAAAGATCGATGATTGACTAATTAAAAACTTAATGAATGAAAGTTTATTTGCTTGAAATTTCAATCGACGTTCAAATAATTACTCATCAAATCCATTCTTTAATTAGAAACTTTAAAATTCAAGATTTACTTGTATATAAACTAATTACTTATATAACGCTAATCACTAATGCTTACTATATTATTCATGCAATGCTTTACTAATTATTCATGCAAATTGATTATCATTCAATTTGACTTCTCAATTGCAAATACCCTCTAATTGATTACATCACTGATTGTTCCCAACTGCGCTGTTATCTGACTTATCCCCAACTTACAATAAGATTTACTAATATGTAAAAACCTTAAATTCAAAATTTATTAGTAAGAACCTTAAATTCAAGATTTACGAACGACAATTGGTAAAACCACTATCTTTTAATAGACTTTTGTCATTATTATTGATACTAAATTAGTAATAGAGTTCTTATTATAATCTTTTGCTATTTTTATAAGTGGATACTAGATTTCTCATTTCGTTTTAATGTCACAAAATGATTTCTTATATATATATACTAGCCAAAAAAAAAAAAAAAAAGAAACCTTCAAAAAAATTAAATATGGATAGTCCATCAGAATCTACGAATTATGAAAATACTTTAGTAAGTCCAAGCACAGATATAAATGAAAATAACTTGGATTGTGTGGTCATACCAGAATTTTGTTCGCAAAAAAGAGAACTATACACTGGTGAACCTAGTGAAGAAGTTGGCGATTATGTATCAGAATTAAGCTTAGAAAAAACGGTGCCTGCTGGTTCTAATTATTCGAGACCATCAACTAATAAAAGATTTTCAAGCAAAAAAAGAAAGGAAAAGGAAAAAGCTACTGTGTCAGCCGCAGTTTCACATTCCCAGTTACGAAGACAACCTCCTGATCTTTTTTGTAACTGTGAGCTAAAAACAGCACCAGGAACAAAAAATGCATTTGATCTAATGCGCCTTCAGAAAAATGCAAGAATTACTGATCATAATAATGATACACCAGACGTACCCGTTAGATTAAGTAATGCCATCATAAAAAAGAAAGCTGGTAGGTCCTCAATTCGCAGCCTAGCTTAGAAATGGTTTGAAGAAGTATATATTGATAATATTCGACATGGTGTGTGTAATATTGAAATAGTGAATGGAGAGGCCTGTGCTACAAAAGTAAAGACTGGTGATTCAATGACGGCATTATGAAGATATCTAGATTTTGAGCATGGATACACTAAAAATAGTATACAACAAGTAAGCTTTTCTTAGTTAAAATAGTAAAATTTTTTCATATAAATCTTTAAATACTATACAGAAACTTTGAATCTATTAATGCACATTAACTGCATAGTAACTATGTAGCTATGATTAAATTTCATAGTAATTATATAATTACTACGTCATTACTATGCAGTTACTACATATTAAGATATTAAAGTTTCTGTAAAGTAGTAGTATAAGTCGATTCAACTTAGTTGACTCTTAATAAAAATAGAATAAAAAGTGAATTGATCTCATTTTAAATTTATCATTACTTATGTTAATCAAAAATGTATATTGTAAATTCAGAATCAAATTAAGTAGATTTTAAGTCTTAAAATGGGCGTAAATAAAATTTATTAGAATACTTCACATCTTGAATTATTTCCTTGATCGATTTATTTATTAATTCTTAGCATTAGATCAAATATTTATATTTTATTATTTAGTCGACTAAGCTAGTTAAACTAATTTTTTTAATATCAACTTAGTTTAGATTCAACTGACTATTAACACTATTTTTTTCTTTTTTTTATAAGCTAAACAAAAAGCAGACAACAATAACAAAAGCATTTGAAACTTCTTTATCAAAACTGCCTTATTTGATCAGGATTTAAGTCCTCTATCAATACTCTGATCGTATTCTAACCTAAG